GATCGATGAGGCGCACGTACTCCTCAAAGAGTTTTGCCATCATCCATGCTTTGGTGTTGTTGCGATAGCTGACCCCTGATAGCAACCGGGCGCTTTTGAAACATCTAGGCTTCGTCGATCTTTCCAATCACGTGGAGCGGAGTTTTGTCAGTTCCAGTCATGTTTACACAAAACTCCACTGATATTCTGTCTTTTGCATGCTTTCCGCCGGCGCACGTCTCACCTTTGAACGCGAGCGTTTTGTCTGGTAGCAGCTTAAAGAATAGCGCAGATTCATCCATATTAAAGATGTCCTCAGGTGCATAGTCTTCCAAGATGTTCTTCAGGTGACTATTTTGCCACTGCTCCGCGCCATCCACGTCAGCAGCAGCACCTTCTCCCGAAACAGTCCTCGTGGTAATGCCGTGCCTCATCTTAAATCTGGCCAACCAGCCATTGCTGCACACGAAGTTGTCATGGTTGAGCTGCGAGGCAAAAACCAGGACCTTCTCCACGAGCAGGGGTCCGCTGATAGGCAGATTTTTTTGACCGTGCAGCTTTTAGCCACTTCACCAGCCACTTACATTCGAAAACGCCGAACCGCGTAGCCGGCACCTTTTCACAGTTGCAGCAGCACTGCCGAGCAACTTCTCTCTGGAATTCCAAATTCCACACACCGTGGTTAACGGCTGGTCCTTTTCGCGTGCCAGCGCCGATTTTTTCGTGCCACTTTCAATAGCACGAATTATGTCCAATTTCTCCTCTATATTCAGCACTCGATGCTTTTGTCCCAGCTTCGGCGTGACGCAAGTACGAAGCAGCACAAGCACACATACACAACACGTGAAAAACGATACGAGAGCTGTACGGCACGGATCAACCAGAGAACACCTATGCACGGCGCCAAAGGAACAAAGAAAGCAAAGCAAGCGCACACTGTGTTTGCGTGTTTGTGCAAAGCGCCATCGCGTCGACAACACCAGAAGCCTAGCCGGCCGAGTGCTTCTTGTTGCAGAAAAATCCAAGAGATGGCGCTCACCAACACAGTTGCCATCATCATCAACACAAACAAGCGAGGCGTGTTTTGATCTCTGGGGCTTGCTGTTCTGTCGGGACGCCCAGTGGGGGACGACATGCCGAGGCAAGTGCGCAACGAAAACTGGAAAAACTACTTATTAGCCGATACATACGCGATAAGCTGGTACGGCTTATGCAGATACAAAATGCATTATGTTCGATGGCCGCCGAGTCGGAATTTCACTTCACTACTTTTAGAATAAAACTACTGTTTATGCGGGTACGGTTTAATGAGGTTTCACTGTAGTTGCAAAGCATCAGACTTGTTACAAGGTGGTTAACGGCCCTCGACTAAAGGCACAAAATGGGCACAGCAAATCTTCAACACAGACCGCATGCACAGTGAGTGAGACCTGTGTGGCACACTGCAAAGTGTCAAGGTGGCTCTTGTCTACAACGATACGTGCAACAGTGCAATGCCGGCATGCGCACGCGGTCATTCCGATGACGCTGCACATCAGCAAATGTGAACCGCTGGGAAGCAGGCTTGATCACTACGAGAGGTGTGGGGATGCTGTCCCTACAAGCAGCGAGTCAGGTTTATTTTAGAAGCTGGCCTGTGTAGGCATATTTTTCACTTAGGTACATTTATCACAGAAAAAAAGCAACGGTCTAAGGTAGGCTTGGGCGAATAGTACATTTTAGTGCCGAAGCGAATTCGAAGTGAATGGTGACTTGGTTGAATAATCTCAAATCAAGTTCGAATAGTATGCATCACACATTATCAGGGAAATGAGCATATTTTTCATGACTCAACTAACCTGCACAATATTTCTTAAAACTCAAAAAAAGGAATGTGCAAACAGATTCCATTTGGTTCAAAGGAAGTAGAAGCAACTCTGAATACATAGTTTTCACTTTCATCAACGTGGTTACCATCTTGGAGTACCAGCTGGTTAACTGCACGCACACTTTCTTGGATGCGCGGAGCAAGAAACGGTGGCACCAGACTGGTGTCGAAGTGCCATCGCGTTCCTTTATGTTCCCCCTTAGCACAAATGGCAGAGAGAAGAAAGTGCGGAGAGCAGGAAAAGAAGAAGGGGACAGAATAACTGGGTGTCCTCCCATGAACTGACACTTTCTATTGAGGTAAAAAAAGTCACAATAGCCACAATATGGCATCATGTGAAAACTATGTACAGCAGAAGGATTTGACTTTTAGTAGAAATCAAGTGATAACCAGAAAACATGTTAAGCTTCAATATTTACTATAATTCCACCATATAAGCTGGTATAACAAGCTTTTAAACTTTGAATCACATAAACCGATGTGAAGCTATTATGTTCATTTTGCCTTGGAGTGAGGCTTTGCAGCAGTGAAGCCACCTTTATGGAGATTAATGTACTTATTTGTTTATTTCTAATACTTTGAAATTCGCAATAATTCAAATTTGAATAGAAGCGAATTCGATTAGTCAATGAGCACAAATATTCGTACAAGCCTAGTCTAATATTAGCCTATGCTCAAGTCGCTGTTCCCCTCCACTCTTTGTTGTTGTTGTTGATGGCACCTGCAACCTAACTTTGCGGCAATAAAAAGAACATTAGCAATGCACCAAGCATCACCGTGGATTGTTCAGACATCTTTCAAGCATATCTTTACTCTAAGACAATATTACCAGGTAATTTGTAGTCTAACATCGTATCTTCCCCTTTTTCACATTTTTGTTCATTATGCTATCAAGGTACGGACTGCACAATCTGCATTTATGCAATGAAAATTGTGCCGCCAACGTCCTAACAGTATTTGCACAAACACATTCATATCTATTCCATCCACAAAGCAGCAAGGCCACAATAATCATGCAAGAATGGTACAGAAACTCTGCGATTCAGCGCGCAAGTTGGGTCCACAAAGCAACAGCACTAAGGCATGCATAAGCAGCAGAGGGAGTATAGTAGCAAGTGAGCATCAAGCAGGTGCCTAAATGACAGAGGACCCATTGGGAGCAAGGGTCAAACACAAAGCATATTAATCCAATGATAGGCACGGAGACCCTCTTCAGTGGATGCAAAACTCAAGAACATTTCCTTTCCTCAACATGTAATACGGTACGCGCATAAGCACAGCATCTATCTCTGTGAAGCCAATTAGCTAGACGTTTTTTGGGCAAAATAAGGACAAAATACCCCCGCCCCCTTTTCTAACACTTGTTTGCCAATTTTAAAAAGTACAATGAGAGGGTAAAAGTATCCAACTACTGCAATATCTGGGATGCTCTATACAGGCAAAGGTGAAACAGTAAAAGTGCAGCTGCATTGATAATCGAGTGGGGATATCAGACCCTTACAGGCATAAACTATGCCCAAAATAAACAGACCACCGTATGACAATATAATTTTTAGCTCAACTAATGCATTAGTGCCATAAAAAAAGTGACGAAGCCTTGAAAATGTTCATATAACCCAGGACATTCGAAAAGCTGTCCCCATACAGATGTGGCAGTGATCATTAAGGGGGGACGTGGCAATGGAAATTGTAAATTTGGTCAAGATGTTCAGTTTTTCAATTAATTTTTTTCTGTAATCCTGAGACAATGTTTTACATCAAAGAGGGATTTTAGATCAAAATAAGTAGTATAAGTTGAGAAATAAACATTTTACTGGTGGGCTGTCGTCAAAAGCTATGTGAAAATTGGGCTTAGCAAAATGTGAATTTGTAGCTTTCTCTTGGCAAAGGGCCAACATTTTGGCATCATCATAAAGAGGACAGATTGTAGCTCAAGATAGCCACAAAGATGCATTTCTCCAATGAAAAAGAAAGCCAGCTTCCTTCCGAGTTCCGTTTTATCGGCTTCTAGCTCCGATTTCTTTGAGCTCCATTTTCTCATGTTTCGTTTTTTTGAGCAGTTGCTGTCAGTCATCCCTGTGCCATTTCCAACAAATTAAGCTATAGCCATTCTGTTTCCTGCACTTGGGATTCTGAGGCATTGATGAGCACCGTAAAGCTGTCCATACTTGTGCGCACATCATACAGACTTTCGTAATTGGCTTTTTGTAAAAGTTGTTGATAATACAATATGTGCAGGACATTTCAGAAAAAATTATGTTCTTACTTAAATATTAAAAATAAACCAATAGCATTACGCCACAAAATGAACCCTTGTAAATATCCTTATGCAAAAATTTTGATAAGCTTGTGTCTAATTAGCTAATTACATTTGGCATGACATTGAGCGTCTATCAAGTGTTGCAACTCGTAAGTTATGTTAGATAGCTCAAAACCGATTTCAGTTATGATATCAGCACAACAAATGACATCTGCATGCCGAATTTCATCTTTTTAGCTTCATAAATAACAAAGATAATTTTCATTGTCATGTCAACCATTAAGCAATAAAAATAAAATGCAGCTGTGATAGAAGAAAGAAAACAGAAGGTCTAATGTGTCACTCAAAGCTGCTTTTTTTTACCAGGTTTGTTCTTTGTATCCCTAACCCATAGAAACATTAGTAACCCATGTATTCAATCTGCAAATGATCACTGTAGACATAACGGAGGGGTACCCCAGCCTTTGTGAGAAACATAAGACACAATCTTGGAGAAGTGTCGTAAAAAAATTGTACTCTAACCAAAATAAACAGAAAAAAGGTGACGAACTGCTTGGCTGTGGCCAGGATTGCCTATATGAAGAGGACTGGACATCGACCCGTCTGTAACAGTCTTCTTGAATAATTTCTAACAAATACTCAATGCCGAAGCCTTTCCGAAAATTCAATGCAAGCATTTTTATTTCCCCACTTCACTCGGCGCGAACAACAAAAAAAAACAATTGACCCGCTTATAGCCAATCTTAATGACCCCTTCAATAAGCCCAACCGAATTTCATGACTGCAAGAGCAGTGCTGTGCTTATAGCTTCCTCAATGCCCCATGAAGAAGGTCTACAGCCCGTGATGTGTCAAGTGTTGTTTCCCACGGAGGGGGCTCCTCCTTCCTCCCTACCTCAACGGTGATCCGGGGTGGGTGGGGTCGTTGGTGTCGGCGGTGCAGGGGGGAGTGTGCACGTACTTGCCCGGGGGGTGCGCCCACCGTGGCAGACTGCTGCCCGCTGGGCCCGTGCAGGCGACCGCCGGATCCCAGCACCATGCTGGTTGAGTTATGGTGCGCCCGGCGCCGCGACGACGGCGACGGCGCAGGGCCAGGGCTCGCATGCCGGCCCCCCGATGGGCTGGTGCAGCCACGTGGCGAGCCTGGGGAACCTGCGGTGGCCAGTGAACCTAGCATTAGTTAGAACAGGAAAGTATTCATCAGCAAAACCTGCAGACATAGTGGTACAGTAGACTCCTATGAAACAAAACTCGTTAAATGAAATTTCTGCTTAAATGGAAGAACTGCCACTAATAGGTTTGGTTTCGTACTTGAATATTATACCCTTGTTTATGTCTCAGTAAACGAAACTGCTCTTAAAGGAAACAGATTTTTCTGGTCCCTTCAGGTTTCGTTTTAAAGGAGTCTACTGTATCTGCAAACTGAGGTGGTCATCTAGGGTAGTGGCATTTTCTCACGGTCTATTACAGGTGCACAGCCAGGATTTTCATTCGAAGAAGGGAGCATATCTTCATGAATATGTGTGTTCGTGCAATACATATGCATACAATAGGAACGAAAATTTCGGGAAAGAGGGAGGTTGAAGCCCCTTCAACGACCCCGCCCCATGTATTGTTCAATGTCAGCGCACATAAAATCACCCCAGTTGATCAAGGTTATCCGGAGCCTTCCACTACAGCGTGCCTTGTGGACTTGAGCCTCATCATAGCCAAACAAAACATTGTAAAAATATTTCGAGTGCCCTCATTTTGTCACTAAGACCGGTGAAACTAAGATAGAGCTCACACAAAATTTGAATTTTCCGGCAGCCTGAATAGAGAGCTTTCCTCTAACAGAGTGGTCATAAGTTTGGAAACTTTCCTGTCCACCTCTTCCCTCGCTTCATCAAGCTCACATAAACATGGACACTGAGTGCCTAGCTGGCTGATGACCTGTAAACGTCACAAGAGACCTTGAAGCAAGAAACATAGGACGTGTGAGATACGCACAGCAAACACGGCTTGTCCGTAATGACTTGGTCAGTTGTTTTGGCTTAACAACTACTGCACTGATTACAGAATGAAGCCGTAATGTGCTAGATTGGAGCATAAGACAATTATCAATGGAATGCGCTTCTGTGCAACCAGATGGAAAGCTCTGCGCCGTCATCTTGCTGTCACTTTCCGTGGTTGTTGTGATGGCAATGACACATGCTAGGCTGGTTTCGAGAGTAGGCTGTAATGAGCAGTTTTTTTTTTTTTCGTTTTAAATTATTTGCACTGCTTGAGCAAAATTTTAGAAATATTTTTTTATAGAAAGGTGCATGTTCTTTATGTAAATACTGAGACAATTAGGGGTGCGCAAATATTCGAAATTTCAAATATTTTTCTAACAGTGTTTTCTATTCGATTTGATTCATGCAGAAACTTTACTATTTGAACTTCCTAAGGACAAATATGGTCAACTTCCAATTGGTAGTGGCCCCTTCAGATTTTCAATATGCTTCACCCCATCACACACATACTACTGCAGAAACTGCCTTGCAGGCCGATGATAGTTTTAGCGTGAGAACAAAACGACGACACAGAGACAAGAAGGACACGAAAAACACGAGCGAGCCTTGCAGGCTCTGCTGCAGAAACAAATTCACTCAAGAAAACGCTGGTTCCAATATGGAGGCGATAGATGTGGCAGAGATGGGAGCTCAATGCTGCTTTGGACCTCAAATTTGGGCAGGAAGTCCAAAAAACCAAACACCGAAAATTTTAAGCATTCAGAATTTCGGATGTTCTTATATACAGTCTATTTCTGATAATCTGAAGTCTTTTAATTAGAATTTTCAGTTAATTAAAAGCCAACAAGTGGTCCCTTTACTTTTGCAAGTACGCCTATAGGAAAAAATGCTCAATAATTTAATGTTAAAAGCCTGTAATGCTGGTTAATTAGAAGGTATTTTTAAGTCAAAGGCCTCAAGAAGACCGTAATTTTCCAATAAAATGGGGAATTTTCGTGTACCAAGACCGCAAAGACAGCACTGTTGTTCCTATCGCTACTGCCCACAGCACCACAGTTTATGAAGTGGCCATCTTGTTTAGTCAACGCCGGCATATCGCATTGATCGCATCAGCTAACTAGGTATTTCATTGTGATGTGTCAAGTGCTTCAGCCGCATGCTGGGTTAAAGTCTTGTTGAGGTTAGAAGAGCACGACTGGACGCTAGCTGAAAAGAGCGCTCAAACACACACACAGCGCTGTGTGTGTGTTTCTGTGTTGTGCTCCATCCACATCCAGTTGCAATGTTCAAACATAGCATGATAAACCAACTCGCCTGCCAATGCACGGTGGGTGTTCCACAGCACAATTTTGAGTGTTGTGGTGGCAATGTTTGGTAATGGGAACTCGCGGCCCTTAGCGATCGCTTGACCTGACGACAAAAGTCTTGAAAGAAGTTGACCAGGGAGGCACTGCCAAGCAAGACCTCGAACGAAAGTACGGCATTAAGCCCAATTCGCTCAGGAATTTCATCAAGTGCAAACAAGTGAACTCGACAACAGTAGTTTTGGGACGGTTCTTAGTGACGTCCGTTCTGAAAAATTTGCTGCCGTGGGCAGCAGCCTCGCTGCATGTGGTCACCTAACAACCAGAAAAATTGTGCAGATGGTTCAGCCAGTGGACAACGACAGAGAAACAAATCGCCACCAAGGACTACCGATGTTGCTGCGGGTTTTGCTCTAGCGCTGCGGCTTTTATGTTTTGTTGAATACAATGCTGAAGAAGCACTTCGACGTGTATAGTGCTTGGAAAACTTGCTAGCTGTAGCCATGTTAGGCAAGACAAGAAGACAGACTGCTTTCTCAGAGAACTGTCAGGTTTGAAGCAATGAAGCTTTTTGTGCATTTTGTTTAATTGAAAGTTCATTTATTTCGAAGTTTTTCGCGGTTCCCGTGAACTTCGTAGGAACGGGAGTCGACTGTATTGACATCTACAAGTAGATTTGGAGCTTTAGACTCGAAGGGAGCACGCGCTTGTCAGCCACATCAATTAGGCTTCGACAGAAATTGAAAGAGAAGGAGAGGCTGAAGAAATAGTATCTTTGCCTTTCTTCACATATAAGGTGTTGTCGGTAACACTTCGGTTGCACCAAATTATGTACGTAAATAGTACAGTTCAGCCTCTGCACTGCCTCATTCTTGATAAGACAATTATGAAACATCACCCATCCAGTTCATTATCAACCTAGCCATAAGGAGCACTTCCATGTTGCTGTCTCTTAAGAATATACTTAAAAATCTTCTCTAACCTTCTTTTTGCAATTTCACTTCAAGGTATTAAAAAAATATTCTAGAAATATTCGAGAAATATTGGATTCAATTCGTCCTCGGATTACAATATCCAAAATTGCTTCGCACCCAAACTTTGCTATACACACAGTTCTAGTGACAACTCATCATGAACTACTGTTCACACTAAAATCTTTACAGGGCAGGCCAAAGATAGCAGTTTTTAGTGGTATATGATGTGCATTTAACACACTTACTGCATCCTATGCTTCCAAAACCAAATTGACCCTGCCACGATTGGAGACATTGTTTTGATCACTATTATCGACACAACCTTGGCAAGCGAACAGCCATGTTCATGTTATCTCACAAAGGAGAATTACAGGACTTGTATAATAAAAGTTTTGCAACATAGAAATACACAGGTACCGACTGGCACGTCAATTCGAGATTAAAGCTAACCAAAAGATGCAATTATGTGGATCGAAGTAAACAGATGCCTTCTGTATCTGTCGACTGTGAAGTTCGCAGATGTCAACTGCGCAAGCCTTCTCGCCTTGTCCATTGCAGATATTCACTACACAATTGGAATTCGTATGGAGCGTTCTACATCAAGAGTTCTTTACTTGTTTTACTATTCAGCAGGTTATAATCAATTGGAAATGTTCAACTAGGTGGAAATGAGGAAATAAGCCCAATTTACGTGACAAGATTTCCAGTTTTTTGCCATGCCTTCACTTGCCATGTGACAAACTTGTTGCTGTCGCATTGCACGATCCACACTGGATGAAGAACCGAACTGATACAGTAGCAGTCACTTTCATTACAAGGAGCACCTGTTATATAGGCATGCATGACTGTGGCTTCCACACTCTGTCTAAATACACCACTCTCAAAGGAAAGCATGAGTGCACAACTTTATGTTTAAAATTTAAACTTTTCTTGCCCCTCAGAAAGATGTCAAGTCTGCACACACAATAACTACTAAGCTGGTTCATTTTCAACCCCCAACATCGTGAGGGGCCCTTTAATGTAAGAATGGTGATCGTATAAATACGAAGTACCTAAGAGTACTAAAGGTTCAAAAAGGTTCAGTCTTGGACAACCATCTCCCATTTATCACCACTCATTTTTGCTGTCTTATCACCAGCAGTCTCTTTATGGAGCACCTTCCCTTCCACCCACCCTTCACCCTTAATCATATACTGGGCTTCTACACAAGTAAAGCAACGGAGTCGAATCACGAATGCCTGTTTAGTGTAAGCCGACTGCACCAGAAGCCTCGCACTGTCAAGCGCCGCAGAGGCAGGGCTCTGACCGGGATGTAGGGGTGGCAGGGACGGAGGCCCCGGGCTGGCTCCCTGCTGCTGATGAGCAAGCTCCTCCGAGGGGTCAAGTGGGGTCGCCAGAGGTGGAGGAAAGTGCAGGCTGGTCAAGTCAGGCAGCGATCCCGTATTGCCATTGCCCATAGGAGGTGCCTGAAGGCTTCCAGCACCCGGTCCCCCTGCCCCCTGAGGAGGCCCACCCGCTGCACCGGGACTGGATGCCAAAGCTGTCCCGTCGCCACTCTCGTCCTGAGGCAGGTAAATACTGCAAGACAACACCCACATTCACAGCATGACGTAAGCAGGTCAGGTAAACATAACTAATACACTGTAAGTGGAAATAACTTCTCGAAATTTGAGATATTATTGTCTGCATATGTATTTCTTATTGTTAAGGTATTCACTAGATTTAGTTTTTTCAATTATATACCCTGCTCAACTACAGACAAGTTCTCTAGAATTCAGTCTACCTAACCAACTGATAGCACCTCTTATTGCTCTCACTTTCTCTTAGTTAACTATTTCTTCGTGTGGTTGTGGCTAACCTAAAACAAGGCCCTCGAATCCTCTCACTCTCCTCATTAAAGCTTCATAAAGCATTAAAATTTGTTCAACCGATCCATGAAAGCATTTTGCGTCTAATTTAACCACCAGGCAGCAATAATATCAAGCTTTACCGAGCTTGCTTCCTATAGCATGATGTCTTCCTAAGCAACCTTAATTATTTTTCTGAAAGCAACATATTGTTTTCACAGCAATATTCGTGGACCATATCTCATGGTTTCTTGTATCGTGCGCTCTTTATCTGTGGTACCCTAACAGATATATCAACAGTGTTCTATACAGTGATCTGCCCTTCAGCCACATTAGAAGAACATGCACTGCCATGTCTACCCTCCAAGCCATTAATTAGAGAAGTATACTGTCATGTGAATATGTTTTCTATAGCAAACTGACTTGATTCCAGGGACATCACAGGATTTCGGTCGGTGCTGCTGATGCTGCTGATGCTGCTGCTGGGTTGAAATTCCCTGTGTAAAGCCAGTATACAAGGCACAAGTCAGTGAACACTTTAAAATATGCTAAAGCTAGCAATTTAACAAACCCTTTAAGTGTTGGGACTTTCTTTTCTTATCAATGTTAGCAGAAATTTGGTTGGCCTGTCGGTGAAATAAAGTGAGGCAAAGAGCAAGGCTTCAGCTACAGTGGTGTTCCTTGATACCAACACGCCATAAGTCAGGCACCAGATCGAAAAAACGTCAGTAAACTTTTCCAGAACCACAAATCCATCTTTATAATCCTGCTAGTAGTATAACACATTACACACATAATGTTCCACCCTCCCCCTTCATAACTTGGCAGCAGCAATACGAAAGCACAACCTGCACACACACATGCACATAGCTACTGACAAGCTCACAACATACAACAAAAACAATTTTGTTTTCGGTGTTCACAGCGCATACTGTTTGAGTGCATAAAAGGAAAAAAGAAAGAAAAGCTGTAGTACTCACACATCCCATACTAGAAAGGCTGTTCCCATAGCAGTCACCTCCCCCTCCCCCCTTGGGATCCCAGTAGCCCTTCATATTCATTCCATCCATGGCCATACTATTCATGTCCTGCATACCTGTGGTGGAAAACACAAATGTGTGGAAACAATCACTGAAAACACTCAGGTGGGGAGAAGCCAGTGAAAGGCTACATGGCAATAGCAACAGGCCACTTCGTGTTGCATGATGAGAAATATGCAAGGAGGGTATTCAGTCACATACACAAGAAACGCTCATCCAACCAGAATGAATGCACTTCACAGAGGGAAAGTGCAGTGAGGAGAAATTCAAAGGCTTAATTCAAGCAGTGTGTACACACCATGTCGAGAACTCGAAACTGAAGGCGTGAATTGTCTCGAACTAAGGTAAAAGCAAGAATATATGTCAAATTTAAAAAAAAAAATGAAAAGTCGACCCTCGTCTTATATACCGGTCATTGGCAGAAAAAAAATATAGAAGTCTCGCAACAATCGGCAGCTGGAGTCGAAAGCCTTCATTGCCATCGAGAGCATCAGCAGAGGTGCCGTTGGGCAAGGCTAGGCAAGGCCTACAGTGTTCTAGCAATGCCATAGTGCCTCGGTTATCTGCTGTCAGTCTGCAGTTTTATTTTTTCTATTTCCTTCAGAAATGAGTGGTAGCTGACGGCATTTTACGATAGCCTTTAGAAGAAAAGTTATCGAGCATGCCGAGGTGCACGGCAACCTGGCGGCTCAACGAGAATGTACCGTATCTTACGGTACTTCCCTCCAAGCCAACCCTCTATATATAGTGAATCAGTTCATTGAAACAATAAAATATATTGTGTTCACAATTGTTCTGGACGTTTCGTCTCCATGAAAGATGTGGCAAATGTTACCCTCATTTAAAAGATTATGAAGTAGTCTCTAGTTACACGGAACCTGAAGGGATACCGAAAACATGTTCAGTTTCACAGGAGCTCCATTTACAGAAACGAAGAGGGTTACATTAGTCAGGTACGAAACAACCAATTGCAGTAGGTGCAGTTGTTCCGTTTAAGCAACCATTCTGTTTAAGGAATTCCAGTTTTCAGAGAGGGTACTGTCTTCAAGAAGGATGTAACTGCCACCACTCCTCAACTGCCTTTGTGAGAGTACTGTATATATAAAGGATATAACTACCACCAATACTCAGCTGCCTTTAACATGATCCATATGAAATGTATGTGTCGCTATTCTTCATCTGCTTGCACATGACCCCTTACATTATCTACCCTACCACTACCCGTAACCACCCAATATATTACATCCAAATCTTTCCCATCTCCACTTCGGTAGAAGGAATGGTACTTCTTGGCGAACATTCCAAGAATCGCCTTCCACTTATTGCTCATGCCCGCGCATAAGAAAGGAGGAGGAGAAAAAAGCTTTATTAAAAAAAGCCGGCGGCCTCGGTGGCGCGGATCCCACGCCTAGGTGTCAGCCAGGAGCCCTTGGGCCCTGGTGGCGTCCTCGGCCCTGTCGAATTGCCCAGAGCTGTTCCTCTGGGTCTGAGCTGACAGCACAGTCTCCCACTGCTCATCATTATAAACTGTGCAATTCTGTCGGACACTAGGCCCATGCATATGCATGAGCCCATCCTTTGTTTCAGCATGAGCCCATCCTTTGTTTCGAAAGTTGTGAAGGCCATAACAGCTCTCTGAGGTATGTGCGACAAAGTATTCAGGTAGCAGCTTTCTTCTGTTCTCATAAAGAGGGGAGAGGCTGGGGGTCACTACTACGTAAGATTCCAAGCAAGTCAACTCTGTGCCAGAAACTATTCAGAATTCGTTTTTTTTTTCTTCATTTTCCCACATACTGTTAGCACCCCAAACTTGGCACACCGCACCCATGACATAATTTAGGTCCAACAAGCACATGCACGGGCTTCGAAATCTGTTGCAATTCAAAGATGGCATCTATGATGAACATACATATTAGATTATGGTGCACGTAGCCAACAAAAATAAGGCCTTCAAGATCGATGTCTCTTGTCCAGTGCTGCGGCTACGTTGGTGTGGACTCATTATCGAAAGTGCTTCCCTTCCACGTTTACCGCTATCTGATCACCAAGCTTTTCATTCATTCTTTCATATTTTTTTTTCCTTGGTGCCAGTGGGCCCTATGGAATAACCTAACTAAAAAGAAATGGTTGAGCTTCCTGGACAAAATCCAGGGGAGGAAAATCTAGGGGCGGTTGATGCAGAGAACTATGCGTCCGGCATGTTATGCGTCCGGCATGTTATGCGTCCGGCATGTTATGCGTCCGGCATTATGCCAGATGGTGGACCAAGGTCATAGTCAAGGCCGCATAGGTGGCAAGTGCGTGCCTTGTGAAGGCCCAGACGAGTCGCCAGTAGGTGATAGAGCATTGCCTCTGTGGCTGGGGCAATGCAAAGAAGCATGTAGTTTGTTTCTTTTGTTGCGCGAGCCAATGCTGCGTTGCACTAGCACTATGAACGAAAGCCAGAAGACCTCTGCGGAAGTTTAGGTGCTGTCTTTTTTTTCCTCGTAGAAAAAGTTTGCCCCCCCCCCCAGTATTAAATTTTAGTGCCGTTCTGGGGTAGTGCCCCCACTACACTTGGCCGGTCACTTCAGCTTACTTGAGTGGGAGAGGGCAGAACTGCTCAGCATTTTACAACAAATCCTCAAACAAGAAGTGAGCTACCCACGGAATGATGCCCACCATTCTAAATAACCTCACTGAAAAATGGTCAATAACGATTTTATCGCAGTCATACAGGCATATCTCCCGCACTGTGAAACGACAAAAAGCTTGGAATAGGAATCCTTTCAGTTTCCCACAAGCAAAAGCATGGCCTTTGCGATCTGTTGCAGTTCAAAGGATGGAATCTATGACGTGTATATTGCTGGCTACATCGATGTCATGCCTGTGGCATCTGTGTAGCAAAAAAGTACACATTAACATTCATGCTTTCTAACAGAAAAAAGCCGAGAACCAAATGCTGTTCCAACTATACCTGCGTCCAAACAAAACAATTTTCAGAGTCTAGCCTGTTTCATATTGCACTGTACTCTACACTACGACTCGCTTTATATACATACACAAAAAAAATGAGCCCATCCGCATAAGCTCACATACCCATGATCTCCTGCCCAAAGCCATCAACTCGTGTGGAACAGTCACGGTACATCTGGTCCAACTCTCGTGCTGTGACAGGGTCTGCAAGGGAGGCAGATAACTTGGTGGGCTGAAGGGATTGTTTTGCCCCCAACAGGCGTCTCATACAAAACAGCTAACAGCATGATTTGGCGGCTTCTAGAAACCAGGTTTTCATAACGCAAAGCAGGGTTGTTCAATGACAATTGCTCGAGCTTCCTATGGCTGTAGCCTGTACCGCTAATTTAAACGGGAACAAACAAAAAGCTTCAACAGATTCCATTACATAGCTCAAAAGTGCACATTGGCTTTTTTCGTGGCATCCGCTACCTGCTTTATTAACGCTACCTGCTTCATTAACCTAATTTAAAGAGGTAATGCTATTTTCCAAACGTACCCCGAGCTAGAAGACAAATAGGTCAGAAGTCGCTGCTGAACGACTCTTATAGCTGTTACACAAAGAAAAGCAATTTCATAGTTGACACAAGATAGAGCAAAAGTCCTAAGGCTAAAATGGCCTAAATACGTGTGTTCTTACCAGAAATGGCCCTCATATAAGCCAAATTACATGCTTGCCACAAAGCATTCCCACCGTATTTGCCAAGAAATTGAGGTATTTAAAGTATGTTATGATAATAATATTGACACTCCAATCTCGACCACTCTTCATGCTGACAGCCTCGGTACTCATTCACATGAAATGGCCACACATTGTGTAAGCACTCAACACCCCAAATAAGCTAAGAAGACAATGACGAAAAATTCAACTACAATAATGATAATGTTCTCACTAAACATTATGCATGTATTGAAGCTTTATGCTTAAACATTTTCATCATTGATCATCACCACTTTCAGCTTAATTAAGTCCACTGCAGGACGAAGGCCTCTTGCAATGATATCCAGTTTACCCTATCCTGTGTGAGCTCATTCTACTTTATCCCTGCCAAAAAGCACCACTTGTACCAACTGTCTGCCTTTCTCAACTTGGGCAACAATTTTGTTGCTTTAACTGTCCCTCTACTTGTCCTATGAATCACATGGCCTGCACAGGTCCATTTCTTTCACTTGATGTCAACTAGAGTATCTGCGAGCCCTGTTTGTTCACTGATCCTTTCTGCCGTGCACCATTTTTCATTCCATTGCACACTACAAGGTCCTTAACCTTTTCTTTAGTTTCTTTGTAATACTCCATGCTCCATGTAATACTCCATGGTCCCATATGTTAGAACTAGCAGAATAAAGTGAATGCACACTTTTTGCTTTAAGGACAGCAGCAGATTCCTTGTTTGGGAGTGCCTGCTGTATGCACTCCAGCCTATCCTTATCCTTCGATGATTTTCCGTTTTGCGATTAGGCTTCCATGCTAGTGATGAACCTACGGTAGGTATACATATTTTTGAATCGTGGATTCTTTATGTTTTGCCAGGTTAGTGTGCATTATCTTTGTTCCCATCATATTCATTACTAGCCCTACTCCAACAGTTTCTTGGTTTAAGTCCACAAGCATTTATTATGACTACTTGTAATATGCTTTAATCTATAACATGTATTGCAATATGTAATTTGCATGAGTAGGCAGGAATATGTAACATGTGATACGCCTTAATGCAAATAAAAGGAATATGTAACATGTGATATGCCTTAATGCAAATAAAATTTTGAAATATGACATACATGACAACAAACTAGCAATATCAAATTATGACATAAGCCGGCCGTTGCAAGCAGTCGCTGCCGGCAGTTGCAAGCAGTCGCTGCCGGCAGTTGCAAGCAATCACACAAACATGACTCCGACAACTTCATATGCTAAACAATATTCATGTATAATTTACGCCTATTGCACAAGCATTGTTTCCTGCAGATCACGTCAACTGCGACGAAACCGTTGAACCCTACACAGGTCGAGCATCGTTGAGGAGCAGTCTACTGAACATCAAGCCTGCTTGACGTAGCTCTTTTTCAACCAAAACGTGCTTCTTGAAATACACACATGAAAAATCACTGAGCATAACCTAATGCTGGCATGCGCACTCTCGAGCTCAATGAGCCGACACATGCGAAAAAACAAGGTGCAAAAAATAACCTGAAAGAAGAATGAACAAGTAATATTGTTTAAAATTATCTCACTTAACAAATTATGTGAATTCACATTTTAGCCTCCAATATTATCACACACCAGACTACGCTAACACACAACCCACACAACTGCGTACTGCACACAACTAGTAAATGAACAGCAGCGTCCAGAACACTATTGCCTTTGATGCTGCTTTTATTCAATTTGAAGCACATTCATGCCCTATTAGTTTCTGTTCTGGAGCATTTTATGAATGAACTTAACCACTTATTTTATCATTTGTATGAGAAAGTTTTAACGCAGATCACGATTGATTGAAAAAACTGCCTGTGAGACAACAATACAAACTTTAAAGTGAATATACGAAGCCTGAAAGTTACAGTGCCATCAATCATTCTAACGCTCCAAGAAAACATATGGCACCATATTAATACACTCTAATTTGCCAAGAAATTGCACTATGTCCTTTCTTCACTTATAAAGAGGCTTTTCTTTACAGAGATGGTCTGAATTAAGAAAATATATTGGGCCTGCATAGTTTCAGGTGTACCTATTTGTTCTTCTGCAGTGCTGAGTGAGACTAATAATAACAATAATAAGAAGAAGAATGATGATAGACTGCAACGAAAAGGCTGCTAAGTGTTATGCCAGGTGCACAATTGAATACCATTATCTAATTCTAGTGTTCCCTAAGTTTGTAGCAGGTAGTCAAAGCAGGTGAGCCAAAATGCCTCCTGAGAGCACTGATGAAAACAAAGGTCTAATGTGCACACAACACAAAACGAAGACAAAAAGTGCAGAATGTCCAGAAAGGAAGTCCTCCCACACCATACCAGCACAAATTTCGCATGCAGAGCAGGCGTTAAGCACCATGCTTCCATCACCAATGGCTGTCCTCTCTGTTCATGCAAATGGCGATGCAGTAGACAGATGGGTAGGGTACAGATGGCAACACCAAACCCTTCTTGACACGATGTCCCAGCATCTTGAGTCCCCAGCCAGACACAGTGAAGAGGAAAAGAGAAAGAGAGAGAAAAGCAAGGCAAGAGAGAGAAGACACAAGCGAGAGAGGGCAGAGAAAGAGAGAAAGGGAAGCCCCCGGTGCGTACCGGTACCTCTGCGCTGCCCACAAGCAGGCCCAACTCCGGGAAAGTTTTCCTGAGGAGTCTGTGCGCTCTGGTGCAGTGCCGAGTCCGAGTTGGTCCTGCGGATCGACAGAGAAGGCAAGGTGCTGAACGCATCTAAAACACAGCCTCCCCTATGGACTCAAACTCTCTTTGCTCATGCACACAGGCAGCTTTTCCAAATTTTTCATATTTGTGTTAGAGAAACAAATAACAATAAAATGCCTTTTTTCAGACAGCACGCGAGGCGAAAAACAGGCACGAACACCAACTCAACCATTTAGCTAGGCAAATGAGGGCACTCCGCAAGCATAAAAATTATGCAAACTCAAACAGCCAAAATGAAGACTTCAAGTTTCAAAACCTCGAAGGAACCTGCTTACGTTATCAATGTAATAAAAAAAGACTTAGCTGTGTTGGTGCTCAGAACGCCACTTTCTGCACATATAAATACTTATGTCAAAATGAAGAGCACGATGTTGTCCCCCGTACTATCGCAAAACTGAGTTGGCTACCATAGGTATGAAAAAATAAAAAATTGTCGTCCAGGGCTTGCGATCAATGCAATACGTGCGGTATGGCTGACACACAAGACCCATCAAGCAGAACAGTCAGTGAACTGTACACACGAAATGATTTGCCACTGACAAGGCCATCGACAGCAGGGCAAGCCATGGAAAAAACAAATTAACTCCACACATGTGGCGAACATACCTATGTAGAGGTATTTGTCTAACAACGTGCTCCCATTAAAAAAACTTTCTCGCAGGCCAGTACATATAAACTGTAGTTGCTGAGTACTTGATCTATAAGCCCTTCATCCAATAAAGACTTGCCATCATTCCATTTCCTCTTCAATCAAATCAACGAAAACTGCCGTCATATTTTTCTTATGTGCGTGAACGCGAGTGTCACAGAAAAAGTTAGCGATTAGCAGTTCTCCACCCACTGGGAAGACAATGGCAGTGGTTGTCGCATTTTCCACGCTCCTATATTAATACGGCTAACATCAGCTTCATGAATCAATTAGCATTAAAAAAAATGCTCACCTTCTCCAACTGCTGTCAGGTGGCGGGGAAAGGTAGAGAGACGAGCTGTACGGCGAAACGTCGGCCTGAGCTCCAAGCTGTCAAGGATATAATAGCTCTTAACTTACATAACACGACAGTTAGCTTATAGTCTTAACCAGAACTTCGACAACTCTGGCTGGTGATAATTCAAACAAATTACAAGAAACATTTTGCCCAAGTTAATAGGTATTGAACGCAATCAGAAGTAACTATTACATTATATATGTAGCTCATTAATTAAATATAGAAAAATGCTTTCCCAAAATATCATTGGCTAAAAAATAAAAGCATTCTCAAGCACTTAAGGATCAGAATATGAGTTGCATAATCAATTTCATGGTAGAAGTTAAGAATGCTGACCTGCTATTTTATGAAAGGATACGCTATGACTATGAACAATAAAACTATTTTGCAATGTTCCACTAGTTTTACACACAAATATGCTGACTGCATGCTTCATCTGCATACATCAGATAAAGGTATAGCAATAATTAATATGTTGCTACCAGATAATGTAATAAATATAGATAAGAGCACAGTATGACCCCCTAGGGGCTCTTCTACTCACAGATAAAATAATAGTTAAGCTTGGATCATACTTTGTTCGACATTACTTTAACAATTCAATTATTCAATTATTTTTTATCTGCTCTAAGAAGGTGTCAATCACAGTGGGCTGACTCGTGGCGCCTGACAGTGCATATACCCAGAAGGATACACGCTTGTCGAAGGCCATCTGTCGACCTTTGTGGGGAGCCGTGGCATGACGGCCTCGTTCACGCACGTGTGGTCGGTCAGGAAGCACTGCAGATGCCTCGCGGCCTTGCCGCATGTCCTCGAGGTGACTGAGCGCCCCCTGCAGGTCAATGCTATGGGCCGGCCCTCCACTCATCTGGTTCACATTGGGCAACGAGCCACCTCGATAGGCACCCAGGGAAGGCGAGATGCTAAGCTGGTGCTTCGAATACGCCCCCTGCACAGTGGCACGTCAAAACCAGTGCAAATATACGTACCAGCTCCAAGCAGCATGTGTGAAAGCGAGTAGCAACAAGAAATAACACTTCTCTTCAAATCGACTGAAAAGTAATGGCTAGTACTGGACCGCTGAGGCTTACTTTGCAAGGCTACTTTTTACCCTAAGAAACAGTGCACTCAGCATCATTCCAAAGGAACCAAACGCATGGAAAAGCAGCACTTATTGAAGTGTTGTCCAGAGAATTGTTGGAGACAAAAAAGAATTATGCCTGAAGTGGGTATGCGCCACAGTTAATAGGTGATCACGAACAAGCTTTCATGACGGGTTGGAGCATTGAAAGACCCACTCGCTATGCAATTCGCATTGTGTGACGCCTGGCTGTCCCATTCATGTTCTAAAATGCTTTAGTACTCACATTAACATGATTTCTTTCCCGACTTCAAGCCTGCCTAAGGCGAGTTTGGAAACGACTTTCAAGTGCTGGCATGGCCGAATGGTAGAATAATGGGCTGGCATGCAGCAGACCCAGGTTCGAATCCCATTGCGTCCTTGGTGTTTTTCATTTACCGACTTTTTCTTATTTCTTGCGATACTGGTTACAGACACCCACGGAGGCAGACAATTACGGCGGCACACTTGATCCATGTTCTGATCTCATAACAACTTTTGCTTTGAAACAAGCCTTCAAAACCAGAATAGGCAATTGCAGCAAAACCTTGTTAATTCGGTGTTCATGGGACCACAATAAATGTCTGAATTAATCAAATTCCACATTAACAAAAGTATCAAGAAAAGAATAAAAATATCTGTTACATCAGTATGCTTTCATTTTCTTCATGAATAAATATGTGAATCCTATAGTTATTTGGTATAAAGGCTGTGTAAGAGCCACAATTTTCATCATCCAGTGACTTTGTCACTGGATTGCGCCAGACTCCCATGCTTAGTTAGCTCGAAACATACTCTGCACTTCTTCATTAATATGCATTGCCATCAACACCACACGCATGTCATGAAATTACCTTTTCACAGGTAAAGTGGCCAGCAACTCACACTTCTTCAATCCCGATCTACAGAACAAGCAACATGCCAGCATATGGACTGTAGCCAAAAACTCTTCATCTTCGACCGTTTTTGCCATGTTTAACTTCTGTGACATTGCGCATGAATTGAAACAATATAACAGCCACAACCACATGTGGATAAAACCGTGGTCACTAAATGATGAAGAGAGCAATGTGGACAGCGTCGCCTCATTTTGATTCTCGGTGAATGCCACTTTCGCACTTTTGTGTACCACATTTACCGCACCACATGCCCGGCAAACTTCCAAGGATCATCCAAACCAACTTGGTTGCGGCCAAATGTGGCCGAATCAATGAGAATTCGATGTCATATGCCAGGACCAGAAAACATATCTGGATTATCCAATTCTTCACATTACCGAGTGTCGAATCGACAAGTTTTTACAGTAACTTGAACAAGGCAGACCCTGAAACTGCACTCAAAGCATGGCCACAATAATTGAACACAGAACTGCCATTCAATATCAGCCCATTCAGTGTGCCACTGTGCTGAAACGACTGGAGCGTGCATGCAAACATAACTTGGGTGGCAAAACGGCTTACATTGGCAGCTTGCTGGATGTAAGAGCTGTCATACGAAGTTGCATAACCCTGCATATTTTCTTGCCCATGGTTGTTCTGAAAATTAACAATGAAAGAAAGAGAAATAAACAACTAAGCTTTGTGGGGATAAAAACACATCATAATGCTTGCAATAAAACACAAACCAGCAAACCACTATCTATTGTTAAAACACAAAAGTTGGGATACTAGAAGCGAAAGGGACAACATAATATGAAAGTGAGCTTAAATTTTGTCGTCGACATGACATCTCTTCTAAGCAGGGTTAACGCTGCATATCAGCCAGCATGGCTGTGATGGCTACACATTTCACGGTTGGTGATTTCTATAGGTGATCGCACGATTTTGATTAAACATTTTTCATTCCATACATTTAATAACTGCATTAGTGAATTCTACGATTGCTGGGAACTTTGGAACTGCTGTAGGTGAGAGCTACAAAGATGCCGGTTCAGCCTGCATGGCAGGGAGTGAGTGAATGGATGAGTGAGAGAGTGAGTGAACAACTTTATTCACTTCCTGAAGGTTAACGGGCTGGGTTCCCACCTCAAGACTGCCTTGCACATACCTCACCATAATATACGACCTCTTTGCCTGTCTTTCTTTTAGCTCATAAATACAATTTTCTATCCTCAAGTAACAATTTACTGCTTGAATGATGGAAACAAGTTAAAGTGCACAGAGAATTTTCAGCTGCCCAAGGCATGCGAAAAATGTTCAATATTCAGTGCTCGGATCTTTTTGACATCAACTATCTGGCAGGTGTGCACGACAGTTTAGTTTAGCCGTCAATTCAGAATTAGCCAAGAAAACATATGTACATGGGCTTTACAAATAATTCAGACAAAGTGAAACTTCATTGCAATTGGTACTAAACATTGTTTTTTCCAAGTCGCTTATCGTTTTTAAAAGCATTCATAGGTGCCACAAATAGTACAAGAAATATGACTAATCATAGCCAATAAACTCAGATATCTAGAGAACATCCTCCTGCAAAGCTGTGCTACTACACGTGCAAGAGCTTCATAATGGCTGAGCAGTAACCGGAAAGCACACATTGGTTCCACTTGCAGCATAAGCACATATTCATGTAAACAAAATTCTGAAAAGGAATCAGTGTCTAAACAGAGAAATCATCTCCTTAATTGTTCCACATGAAAAGAGAGTAATTATACTACCAAAAAAAAGGCACTATGCAAAAGACCAAGATAGCAGCTGCCACCAACCACAGAGTGTTTTGTATGGTCGCTGTAAAAGATTCCATATTCATTGTGCGTGCGACACTAGACTACCCGTATTGGCAGATACTCAGACCCCATGCCACAAAGTGAAGCGATTGATTTCTTCCTTGTCACCTACAGAGCCACTTCGAACTTTCTTCATCTTAAGTGATATGTATTATGCACAAAAACAACCCCATGCACCTAGCAACAGAGCTTCATGCTACTTCATGCCCAAAGATAGCGTAAGCACAAAGAGAAAGCGAAAGAACTCAAAACACTGACCTAAAACTCAAGTTTTAATTTTTTTGCTTGTAATACACCAATTCAAGTTGGAGCTTTGCTGCATGTGCAACTAAAGAGTGCAGAGTGACCCTACTTGAAACAAGCCTGTTCATATATTAAACACTTGAAAAAAATCCCAGATGGTTTGATATTACAAGGACTTTCCTGCTATAGTACCAAGCTAATAGTGCAAATTGTGCCAGCTTTCACAAGTAAACCACTTGAATACACACACTTTTTGAAATATTCTATCTTCAAGCAGCCGCAGAATTTTTATACATCTGACTCACAAGTGAAGTGTGTGTGTGTGTACATTGTTGCTTCTCTGCTTCGCAGTGTTCTTCACCTTTGACTTTTTAACACATGACAAGGAAATCCCCACTGAAGCTCTGCAACATTCCCTTTTTTTTAATTACTATTCATGAATGCGAATGCAAGTGAAGGAACAAAAAAAAACTAATTACACTTTCTGCCTTCTGCAAAGTGCACTTTATCATGTTAGCAAGCATGTCACTATTGTATCTATTAAAAAAAATCTCAGAACTGCAGTTTGCATTTCCATATTCTATAGCCATTATTGTAAGCTGCAGCCAGCACTAAAGGCCTTGTCATTTCAGCATGTTAGAGCCGAAATAACACAGATGTATAGAAGCCCACTCACTGATGCTGTACTTTACAGCTTATACCCTCAATCATAAGCTACCATTTATACCACATAGCCATATGTAGATACCAAGTTCACACCTTAAGCAGATTTTCGGGGGACATTTGACGTTTTAATCAGACGCAGGCAACTGTTTAAGTTCAAGACATTCGCTTCAAGAAATAAATAAATAAATGTCCCAGTGCAACACAACCACACTGCAGCTACAATGTCCAAACGCTTGAAATATCAGCAGACTAATTTGAGACACCAGAAACAAGGGAGTAGGTAACTTTGACGGCACAATCATGTCATTAATTACTTAAATTCATCATAAGCATCTATTAATATCAGAACTTTTTCATTCCAGGCTTGCAAGTGACACCATTGAACGTGCGTGTAGGCCCCATTAGTCGTGCTTGCAAAGTTATCCTATGTCTATCACTGCCTCGAGTGTAGGTATCACAGAGCTGTGAAGTTACCAGATATTCTCATGTACATGTTGTGCAGTTATGCTTTTCCTTATTTTGAGGGAAGTGCAGTACTAGACGGATCACATTTATAAGCAGTGTAAAGATAGCCATAAGCAACACAAAACACAACTCCACATTCTATAGAATGTCGGTAAACAGTTTGCACGGAACAACGAAAATGGTGCCAAATACAAACAAGGAATAGTAAAAATATGACTGATTTTAGTGAGTAGTACTGCATTATGCCCTCTGAAGCTGTGTCAGTGGAAGCGGGCTGCTCATGTGCGGGAATAAACAGTTGAAGAGACAGTGTGACAAGTAAGAGCAATATCTCTGCATAAGCTGTCGGAAAATAGATGACAAGTTCATCACCATAATGAACAAAAACAAAGTGTATATGCTCTTTTTTTCTTGAAAGCTCATATGTATAATGGCAGTTCAAAATAGCGCATTCTAACGTCAATCCGGTAGTAATCGCCTTCCCACACACTGGCAAGAAATGCTAAAGGCAAGAAGGAGGCGCAAGCCACACTGCAACCACTCACAGATGGCAGCTGTTGCCCTTTCACTTCCAATACTTTATTGTGAGCAGCCTCAAAAACACCTGTGCATAACTTAGGCTGGTTCCTTTGAGTCCAATGTAACCGCCATCTTTTTTTTTTTTTTGCTGCGCGTTATATTATCATCGGCTGTCAAACAATGTTTTTTTTTTTTTTTTTTTGCTGCTCGGTACGTTAGCTCTAGCTGTCAATGTAAACACAAGTAACGTGAGGCTAACAAACAAAACGTGGAAAGGTCCACGCACGCTGCGAGACATTCAAAGACGGCTTGCTCTTGAGAATCAATCCCAGTACGAGCAGTTTTCATAGACTCAGTTGCCGCTCATATCACAGCTGCCGAGATGGACCACTCGGTGGGATCAGTGGGCCAGTGAATGCGCTAGCCCTTACAGCAGCAATCAGCGTTCCGTTTAGAGCGCGTCTCATCAGAAACAGCAGTTGCAATGCATTCAGCATCTGCGCAGCTGACAGCGCGCAACGAAGCGCCGCGAATAACCAGCGTTCACGGAATTCCCGATCACGCATCGTCTCTTGAGACTTCGTTGAATGGCGGGCCAATCGCAAACCTGCAAGACTTGCATTCGAGGTGCGATTAGACAGACTGCGGTACTCGTATTTCCGATACGGCACGAGGCACGCATACAGCGGCGTCCGCGATTGCGTTTCCTTCCAAAACAATGCGGCAAACGCGTTACGTAACTATAGCCCCCGAGTCGCGACAACGGTCGCTGCCTGCCAGCGCGAAACACGGTGTCGATTAGGTACACTACGTAGCCCAATCGAGGTAGCATGCAGGCACAGAAGGCTCACAAATTCCGTCATCTGCCAAACATTGGGTCTGGTAGCTAAAGGGGGAGCCCGCGGCGCACACGGGGATAAGACGGGTCATCGCGCGCAGCTGTTATCGCGGGCGGCTGTCAACGATACATGTTGTAGGACTCGCCCAGGACCACAGGACAGCGGTATAGGGATTAACAGAGCGTTCCGTAGGACCCGCAAGCACCACGGGAGGCGAAAAACAAAGCGCGCGTACGGCGTTTACCGAGGTCGCTTCTCACCTTCCTCCCCGCAACGCAAGCGTTAGAAAAAGTGGTGTGCTGCTGGGGTATCTATTGATCTGTTTTTGTAAGGGGGGCCAGCCGCGCAGACACCTCGATGCGTTTCGTTTCGAATTCAGCGTACTGCCGCGTCGTTCGGAGTAATGCGAGCGGTGTGGGTCCGTGCGGCACGTTGAAACGTCAGCGCGCGATCCAACTGGTTCGTAAGCAATACATTTCAGCGACAGCAGAGCGCCTGGGATCAGACGCGTATCATAGGAACGATCAAGTCCGGTAAACGGTTTCACATAAGCGCGCCAGGGCACTGCAGAGCGCTAGAAACGCACGGATACACCAGCTACGATTCACAGGGACGACGAGCGATGTCCGAGGCAACGGAAAACGGCCGTCCGCGATGTTTTCTTGGTAGTCGCAGTGTGAGCGTATTTGTTGTGGCGCGCCGCAAAGACGCCGCACTGCACAGCATGAATGACAACGGACACTTACTCGGGTTGCCCCCATCACTTCACGCATGATCTGCTCGAACGCCGCCGTTTCTTCAGCTTGTTTCTGATTGTGCAAAGCGATCTTTTCGCTGAATTTCCTCGGATTCGCCATGATAGAAAAGCGCCTCGCTACTACGCGATACCCTCGACCCCGTCCACAGCGACGGTAGGTAATGCGTCCATTGGCCGCACTGGTGCGCAGCGAGCGCGAAAAAAATGCAACAGCAGCAAAGAGTGTGCGCGACGGCTGTAGCTACTAAAATTTACAGTGAGTAGGTTGACCGTTCTTCGCTTGTTTTCATCTTGCACGCCAAAATAATGTAGCGCTGCAATCGCTAAGGTCATTTGTTGCCCTTCATGAAGGCGCTAGTAGCAGATGTGCAGTTCAGCTGAGGAAGGCTGTGCACGCATTCAACTTTTGATGTTTTGATTGCCCAACAGCTGTTTCCCTTTCTCTTCTTTCGCTCATCCACTCCTCCAATTTTTTTTTCCTTACAGTAACGGGTTTTCAAATCATGACCAATCAAAACGGGGCAACAATCGTCAGCTAGAGACTCCTTTTTTGCCAAAAAAACGAGCCGTTATGTATACACTTCTTTTACTTATATATATATATATATATATATATATATATATATATATATATATATATATATATATATATATATATATATATATATATATATATATATATATATATATATATAGTTCGTAAAATAAATCAATTAGCTTGAATTAGAGTAAGGTGGTTATGTCAAACGGGAGAATCAAAGTATTTCGTGCGAACACCCAACACGGCATTGAGACATGAAAAACAGGCTTCTTGTGATTATCGTGGTATAATGATATTTAATCGAATTCGACAGCGAAACCGAAACCACCACATCGACGAGTGCACTAAGCAAACGATCACAACAATTTCACCATTCAAGACGACGATTACAGCGGTGAATAGTTATTCTTTGTTCTTTAACGTATATGTGTGACATGCGTGCTATAATTGCTAGAGTAGCTCGCACATCCACACAGCGAAGTCGGTTTGCGCTAGCTCACTGATTCTGGAAGTCCCCGCACTTCTGGATTTCAGTCTTGCTGCTGATATAAGATCAATTTCATGATTTCGCAATAATCGCATACGGTATGGCACATTGTCATAAGGTAAGAACCGTATATGTATCCCATAAAGAAATGGCACGAAAGCGCTATTTGATGAAACCTGCTACCTGATGAGCAACACAGCACTTCAACCCTTAGGTTCATGCTCCTTCACACGAGAGGTCCTTTATGCTTGGAAAATAGTTGGATACTCATTCACTCCGTCATTCTTTGAAAGGTGTTGCATGACAGGAAAGAAGTCTGCCAGCAACACGCATCGACTGGTTTGTCCGATGAAGAATTCTTTCACGCCCAGCTGGTTTGATTATTCTCCGTTTGATCATCTCTGTTCATGCTTCTTCACTCGTCTCTGCTTGAGCCGTATCCATCAGCAGCCTTTTCAGGCGCGCGTGGAACGACGACCTGCGGGGCGATGTTATCGATTTGGATTTTACATAGAACATGACGGCGACGGCAAAAATCTTAAGTGTCTATGTAATTCGTGTCGCAGTAAAATTAGCAGTGAGCGTCACGTGACAATCCCGAAACTTAGCCATAACCATAAATGGACCCCCGCTGCGTGATAGTCTGCCACTACTATTGATCGGCTCCCTTTGGTTGCGTCTGATGAGGGCGCTGCGAGTTCACGAAGTATAGGGAGCCTACATGAACGGCCGTTTTTAGGGTGATGTCAGCCATGACCCACTACATGCCGCCAACGCACCGCCGCCCGCCAAAACACAATGTTACCAGACAGCAACGCCGCGCTGTCGCCCCATCTTGGTGCCCGCACTGCGTCTACGCCCGGTTGCGTTTAGTTTTCAATAATACCGCGTCGAACGTTGCGGTAGCGTGTTAAACGCTGCCGGTGAAGCCTTAGAATGCCTGGATGCTGCGTACCGCTCTGCACTAACCACAACAGAAAGGGGGTGCGAATGTTCCGCTTCCCAGCGAGCCCTGGCCGACGACAACTATGGCTGGCTCAAGTAAAGCGAGACGGCTGGGAGCCCACCAGTGCGTCTCGTATTTGCTCTGTGAGTACTGCGTATTTCGTTCACTGTTTTTTCCTGTGGCACACGTATATGTGTTTCGCGGTGTTCGCGAATGAGTAGATAACCGAAGTTGTCGTTGCTGCGTCCACGCGTTGCGAGTAGGAAGCCCACAAACGGGACGCGTCCGCGCGTTCGTACGGAGACGCGCTCGCTAGTCTGAGCTGTTGCCACGCTTGCGTTCGTGTCAGCGTAACCTCAGTATTATGTCGCAAGTGTTTGTGTGTGGGCTGCGAATTTCTTCGTGCGCTCACTTTGAGAACTGGGTCGCTTACACGACCCTGAGAACCGCCGCTGTCAAAAGCCCAGGTGTTGTGTGTTGGCTGGCTCCAAAATGGCGGCGCACAGAAAACTATGCTGAATTTAGTGGAAGCTGGCAACAGCGTGCCCCGTTGCCCGCTGGTTTTGGCTGAGTTTCTTGAAGGCACTTATTAAGATGTCTCCACCCTAAAAACGGCCGTTCATGTAAGCTCCCTAACGAGGTACCGAGCACGGGTCGGGAGGGGCACAATCAGAGAAGGTCGACTTCCCAAAGCTAGCGAAGTCATGAAGTGATTTCTCCTGTGGTTTCTCTTTTGTTTTTCCTTCATGCCAGGCCCGCACTTCCTGCTGAAAACAGCCGGAAAGGACATCACTTGTATGCAACGACGCATCCGGCGCTAATCACGAGAGTATCGCAGAAAGTGATCGCTTGTCAATGCCGCCCCCGAAACTACTTGCGTTTTCTTTTCCAAGCTCTCTCCCCTTTCCTGTCAAGAGTATCACACTGTTAGCGTGCCGTTCGACGACCATTGACAATCTAAACGGTTCAACTGTCGCTGCACGGTAAGAGACACTTGCACCCTTTCGGGCATCTTCCCGCTCCATCGTCGGGCCTTTTCTTGTTTACCGCCGAGCGCCCAGTACCATCAGGTCACGAACGACGTAAGCTTTTACGCGCTATCAGCTCGGGAAATCATTCTTGTCGTTAAAGAGGTCAGTGCCTAGTTTTCAAGAAAGCAAGCGCAAAAGAACATTTAAAAAGTGGAATGAAGATAGCAAGCCTGAGACGATTATGGCTGTTGGACAGAAATACTACCATAAGTATGTCAACTGTATTTGATGTGTACAACCTCAGGATTACCGTGGTATTCCTCCTACGAAAAGCGCAAAGAGGTCCCTGAACCGTCACATTATTTTTATTTATTTTATTTGCATACACGGACACACATGGACAAAGAGAACCGAAGGAGATGGATGGATTGATGAGGTTGTACCCTTTAAATCGGGCGGCGGCTAACGCCACCTAGCCGTAATACTTAGCGAACCACCAACTAGATTCTACTTTTCTTTTTCCAATAAATAATCAAGTATAGGACTGGTACTTTGCAGTAAATGGCGTAATTTTCACTCGCGCCTTGACTTTAGCCACCAATCAGATAACCTCCTTCTAGTTAATTCTACCCGCTTAAAGTCTATTTTGCCCTCCATGTCTCTAAACCCCAGCGCTTTGAAAAACTCTGCGCCATCATCCTGAACTATAGGGTGAAGCCATTTACAGAACATTATCAAGTGTTCGGCAGTTTCCTCTTCCTCTCCGCATGCACTGCATACCGTGCCTACCCCTTCGTATTTGGCCCGATATGTCTTGGTTCGCAATACTCCTGTCCTGGCCTCGAAAAGTAGAGAACTCACCCGAGTATTATTATACATCCTTTCCTTGGCAATTTCCTGCTTAAAAGTTCGATAGATCTCTAGTGCGGATTCTTAATCATGCCAATTCTCCACATGTCAGTCTTCGTTTCCTTCAGAGAGAGCAAGCTGGCAACTGCCGCCTGGAGGGGCACAACGGCTGCTAGCTCTTTCGGGAGGAAGAAAGAAACAGAGGACAGGAAGATAGGAGGGGAGAACGAGGTGAAAAGAGAGGGAAGAAATCGACTAGAAACGAGTGGCCAGGTCTGTTTGGTCCATAAAAGTAAGTAGAGCTCGGAGGGCCTGGTCGCATCGGGAAGCACAACCTCCCGGAAAGAGATAAGCGAAGTAATTCAGCGATAAGCACACCCTGCTTGGAACACCTACAGGCAAGTCCTGCAGTCGTGCGTGGCGAGGAGATTCAACTAGTGTAACGGGAAGTTGTCAACTTCTCAAACGCCCTCTCTTAATTTATTCACAAAAACGCCCTCATTTCTTCGGAACGGCCGGTGGCGGCTGCATGGCATCATACAGCTGACTGCTGCTGTTAGCCGAAGACACTTCAGTGACGCCGTTTCGATCAGATCCGCGTCACTTGTCATGTGGTACCTATGCACTCGGCGACTCATCGGGCGACGGGGAAGCTGGCGTGACCGGCGCCAGAGCTGACAGGAGAGTGGCGCTCCTTTTAATCCCCAATCAAGTAGACGACCGGCCGGCTGCCTGTGCCCGCCAGGCATTGTCCCTGCTAGCCGGAGGATGAGACGTCGTGTCGCCACGACGCCACGACGAGGGAGGACAACAAAGACAGCATCTTTTTGGAGGAGACCGCGGCGGCCACCGCAAATCACCCCGCCAATTAGGCGAGCTGTGCGGCAGACCCTTTGATGTACGTTGTCAGGATCATGGGAACTCTCGACTAGCGGCACACACACGACGAGGAAGTGCCCTGCTGGCGCCACCTTGCAGTGCAGTGTTCACGTGGACCGTGCATGCTCGTCCCCCTCACATGTGTGTGTGATTGGTGTTCCACTCGGAGAGGAGGAGCCCAACAGGGCTTAAAACGACGCCGCAGAGTGCTGGACGTCGCTCTGAACTATGTAATGGTTCACCGTGCGGTGTCAAGCTCCGTAGAGAGAAAACGTTTTATTCGAATCAATGGCAAATGTCGGGTGGAGCTCCGCAGTGTGCTAATGTTACACAGTAGCGAGACTACCGCGCACCGGAAGCACGCGGGAAGAGGGCGGTCGCGTTTCATGACGTCGTTGTCGCACCTTGTTTCTCCTTTGTCACTTTTGGCGGCGGTTGATTCGTGAGGCAATAAACTCGGATGAA